GGACTGTCAGCCACACGGTTAGTGGCTTATGTGGGCGCATAACAGTAATACACATGGTTCAAGACAGGGATCCACTATCAATTACACTGTTATATCCTCCACAGAAGTTACTAGGCTACCTAGCTTGGAGAATTACACCAGGCAAGATTAAAATAAAAGGATTTTGGAGAGGAATTTCAGGCTTCATGTATGGTAGATAAAAGACAATGAAACAAACCCGACCCCTGAGGCTATGAGATGCTACGCTGCTTTATCCCCCGCAATGAATGTTCTTGTCTCAATAAGCACTGGCATTCAGTCACACTGGGAATTAGTCACTTAAAATGGCTCCACCTTATAGCGCACACAGCATGTTAAGTAATGCTGACGTAACAGATTTATGTGACCAGCTACCATTTAAAAGGAATAAAAAGTGGTGTTATCCATGCCCTATTTAATATAAATTACATCTCAGTAATATGTATCCACATTACTCTTATATATAACAAGCACCAAGGATCTTAGGAGATCACAAGAGGAAGAATGGTTTGTGGTTAACATACCATTCGGAGAGTCACAAGACTTGGTTTCTATGCCCAGTTTCGGCCACAGATTTCCTGTGTGTGACTTTGGGCAAGTTACTTAGTGGCTGTGCTTCAGTTTCCCATCTGAAATGGACATACTACTACTACTACTACTACCCTACGTGACACTACTTTACTGTAAGTCATGACGTTCTTTTAGCTCCTAGAATGGACATTCCTATTAAAGATGTGAAATTGTATTTATATAATTCAAAATCTCAAAGGTGAGAAAATACACATTTCAGGAAATGGTATTTTGTCTCTTAATGCCTTTAAAACTAAGTCAGCCAACCCCAAAGCTTAATTAAAATAGTTGTCTGGAATAGTCCATTCCTTCCTGACACTTTGTTCACATCCCCAGCTAGTTTGCTGCTGAATCTACTTTCACAGGGTGTAGATCTTTTTTGTTGAATGACCCTGGCTGTCTCAAAACACAACTAATGTTTACAACACACAATGTGCTGCTTTATAAATGTGGAACTCTCCTGCTTTCACTGCATCACTGTACTTAAATCTGAGATTAACATCAACAGTGGTCCTAGTCACCCATGCTCACATCTTCACAAACTTAAAGTTTTATTGTGTTCAAAATGAGTGCTAAAAGCCCCCACTGTTTAAAGGGACAGTGTCAATTTCAATTATTTAAAGTTGACTTATTTAAAAAAATCTGCCACTTTCTGAGAGCACAATCTTAAAATGTGTCCTGAAGCTTTTACAAATATTTTTATTAAGGCAATTTTATATGGGTTTTTCTGCTACCTTGCTGATCCATAAGAGGGGGAGAAATAGTGAATCTGACCGTATGCAAAGTTATCCCACATGTACAACATAAACTAACAACAGAAAATTGTTTTTGCTAGCTTTTTCAGTTTTTATACTTTTAGGTGGTTTTATAACTGTAGTACAGATAAAACATTCAGACAGCGAAGTGATTTTCAAATCTCTTTAAATGTTCCAAGTCTCCAAGTGTGCACTACACAGAATTCTAACAAACCTATACACTGTACAAACAAATCCAAATAATAAATGAGGGGTTCTTAGTGTAATTTGATTTTTTTTAAAGTAAAATATGGCTACTTCTTACAACATATTGGCATGAAGCCTACCTAACACAGATAATGTAATTCTGATAGAGGAAAAACCAATCTCCTTCTGATAACTTTATGTAGACAGTATATCTTACAGACACACATACAGAGGTCAGTTATCAAGTGAAAACCTAAATGCAGTATATACTAAGCTGACATCACTCTCTGACCTCGGAAACAAAATAAATCCTGATCTCAAAATATTCTATTTCCTAAAACGGTGTTTTAGGAAATATTTGGTATATTCCTAGTGCAGTTATCAGGTCACAAATGCAGAAAAAGAGACGGGACATGCGTACAAACATAGAGCCACACCCTGGAGCATCATGCAACCACTTTGCACTGCACAACTGGCTGTGAAAACAGTGTTCCCAGACCAAGAGATCTGCCAGTGGCATAGATTTTCCCCTTCCTTCATGATGGGAAGCCCCTGCCCAGCCCTGATCCTGAGCTCCCATTTGAGCCTGTTGGACATAGGGACCAGCCCTGCATATAGTGGGCCCCTTGGTGGGGGAGGGCCAAGGTGAACTTTGATCTTGCACACCACCTCCCCAGACTTGCTCTGTCTGCTCCCTGAACCTAGCTGAGGATCTGGCCCATTGGACTGTACTTAAGACGTATTCCTCTCATCATAGCCTACAGTGCTCTAAAATTCAGTATTCATTCTTTATCCAGTGATTTTATTTTCGATAACACACAAGAACATTCAGCTTGGTTACTGTTTTATGTATAATGTTTTGTTACAATCACTGTGCCCAACTATAATCCCCTGTCAAAAATTGTAATTAAGATGATCCTGCTTTATCATATGAGAAACAGCACATTTCCTCTTCAGCAAAGACACACGGGGTTTCTCAAGTCAAAGCAATAAAACCTACTGCAGGTTTACCTTTGTGTGAGGTAAAGAGAATTCCTCCCTTCCAAGAGCATTATAAATAAATATTGCTTTTTTAATCTGGCAGAGAATAAACACCCCCAATACAGGGGTGCTGAGAGACTTAACCAAAGTGTAAACCCTGTGTATGATGGAAACCACTTCAAGCCAGCACCTATGGCCCGATAATTTCCATATTAAAGTTTTCATTAATTTTAAATAAAGTTTTTTCTTGGACCGTTGACTAAAACATGTCTGTACAGAACTGTTCACATTCTACTTCAGCGTCCCTAGGGCAAGACAGGCTGAAAAGGGAGCTGCCAATCAGGCTCCCTCATTAAAAGAAACAAAACGACTTAAACAAGAAAAAATGGAAAGGGGCCATGAAGGTAATGCAACTGGACTATAACCAAATGCTCAAGACCCCATTTCCAGAGCGCTGGTACAGATGCAGTAGGTTGTAGATCTCCTATCATTAAGGCACATGGTGAACATAACAGCATATAAACCAGCTTGTTCATCCTTCTGAATCAAACATTCTATTCCAGTAGTAGAGGAAGGCCGGTGAGTTGCTGGCACCTATAACAATTAGCAATAGTAGATACATCATCATCATTATAGCAAAACGATGATTGGAAAACCACGACGACTGACTAGAAGGCCTGTGGAGGGGAAAAATGACATAAAAAGCATGAATTACATCAAATATAATCTTATCAGACACATTTATTATGTTTTATTATTTTTGAACAATCTTGCAAGCTTTGATAAAGATTTTCCTAGCTACTATATTTGCTCCGGGATCCCTTTTTGCTTCCTGTAAGTGGAAGCATATCTTTTGTATTTTTTGATTTTGAGAGAGAGAATGATGTGCAAATAAGATCTCTGTCTATCTGGCACTTGCACCATGCTCATTATACTGGTGAGTTGAACTCTTACCTCCGGTGTTGTTTCTGTGAATATACTAATAAGTATTTAACTCGTAAAAGCTGATTGTTTGTGACAACGAAGTATTTCTGTGGAACATCGCCCCCTTCACTGTTTTTTACTCTTGCTCTTTTCCTGTCTATTTCTTCTGAATCTGTATGGGACAAGAAGAGGTTTTCTTGGAAATGGGAAGGAAAGCAAAAGCACATGTATGAGAGTAAAGGAAGATGGTCAAGGCATAGGACTTGGAGTTAGGAGACAGGGTTCTTATTCCTGGCTCTACCTCAAATTTCATTGGTCCCTCTTAGCATCCCAAAGGGGAATCAGAGAACCAGCCCCTACTGGTTATCCCTGGCATGGGGGTACTATGGGTTGGGCTGGGAGTAGAGAAAGGGCACGTTAGACATAGGAGAAGGCAGGCGTAGAGCACAATGCTTGAGGGTTGCAAACATCAGAGAGGATAGAGAAATAATACAACAGCAAAATGAAATTTTTCTAGTAGAGAATAGCTTTGTTATGAATCTAACATGCATAAGTACAGAATGCGTATTACTCTTGCTGTTACAGGAATACCTTGGCTTGGGTTCACTTCTGGAACAAATGGAATAACTCTGCATTACAGAACATGTTCTGTTATCGGAGTGCCGCTAGATTAAAACAAAATAGGATGCTATTTTGGTTTCTATACTGATCTAGCTAGGTCCCACTGCTAGAATGATCAAGTTTTATTTTTTCCATTTTTGTGGAACACTTTTGTAGATTTGCTAATGGGTCATCCAGAAAATGTGCCTCCCGGTCAGTTTCTGCTGGTGGGAAACTAGTGTACACACGAGTACATTCTTAGCTGTATTACTGCACATATACACAACCTAAATCTGAGGAGTATTAATAGAAGACTGACTAACACTCTAGTTGTAATTATTTCTATACACTCACCTTTCTTCTTCACCTGGCATTTTACATCTGGATGATCGATAATCTCACAAACAGCTACACAACTAAGGATAGGGCCCAAAACGCTGCGTTGCCACCCAAGACCATGAGGGCTATATAGAAGAGCAAGGCTTAGATCACTGGTAAGGTAGGTACCTTCACCAAACAAGGATGTCTGAAATAGCACAAAAGTAAATCAAGAGAGACTGCATCAGATCAAACACTCTGAATGTCCACATGGCACAATAATACAGTGTACCACTGCACTTTCCTTGCCAAATGCCAGCACATGGTTTCCAAAAATAGTATGGAGCTTAAAAACACAGCAGTGAAATTCAGAAGTCTCAGTTCTTAAACTCCTTAGCGCTGGACTACAGACAGATTTTGTACCAGTGCAACTATGTCAGTTAGGGGTGGGACTATTTTTTTTTTTTAAACAGATTAAGCTAGACCAGTATAAGCACTTTTAAACCACACTAAGGAGGTTGTACAGCTTTAACTATACTGGTATATTTAAAGTGGTGCAACTTTTGTGCATGGACAAGGCCTTAGTGACATTTAGAAATCTGCTCTGCAAGGGAGAAAAGTTCTTTTCAAGTATGATTTTTTCCCCCCCAAACTCAATTGCTTTAACAGTTTAGAAACATAGGATTTGCCACCCCATCTAATCTAGCACACTGCCTCCCACTGCAGACAATGTGATAATTCATGAGGGGGGGGGGGGGGAAATTGAAATGCATCATGCCAGCTGTGCCCTCCTGGGAAGGTAAAGATTCTTTCTTGTCCTCTGTGACCCTAGAAGTGTGGGCCTTGCTAAGAATGTGGGGATGAAATTAAAAACAATGAAGTCACTGTTTCACACATGGCCCAGGTTGGTAGTGACTATGTATTTTTACTGTCTGCCAGCTACGTGACAACCTACATGAAAAGAAGGGATAGTCCCAGCTAGCTTCTATCAAACAGGTGTGGACATCCACAAAGTCCCACCCCCCACCAAATGACATCCTTGTCAGCAATCTCCTGGCAGATGCAAAGGACTCTCAATTGGCAGGTAGTTTCTCACCTTTAGAGGTGGTTCAGGGCTGAGACCTGGGCAGAGAGAGCCTACACTGACCATGTTCCTCCTGGTCCAAGGCTAGAGATCTTCCATCTCTATGGCTGTCAAATACGCCAGCATTTTTCAGAGGCATTAAATTCATCTCTTTTTTTTGGTTTTTAAAGTGAAGGATGGCTACAACCAGGCATATTGGAGAAACGACTATAACTTAATGCTGGCTTCACACCACCTGCATTTTTTTAAGGTCAATCTACTTATAAAACCTAGTAAAATCATATGCAAAGTTAACTGTGTTGTCGTCAAGGAAAACAAATAGCAACATGCGATCACAGATCACATTATTTTTATCCCTACACACATTTGTACATGTGTTTAAAACACGCCTCAGAGTTTGTGAATGAAGGATGAAGCTGTGTGTTTAAATGCAAGAAATATTGGAAACCTTACCCTATTTAAATGGCAATGTAAACCATTGTGCAGTATGGAATGGAAGTTCTCAAGGCGACTCCCATGGAATGCATAAATAAGGTTCCTTTCTCCCCTGGTTTCATCAAATTTGGCATTCATCTGATCACAATACACTATTTCAAACAGGAAGTCAGGAGTAGGAACAGCATCACTTGACATTCCTGTCAGCTCTTGGATCTTCTCATACTTAAAAACAGAAAGGAATCCTAATGTTATTTTTTTAAAGGTCTAGATTAATCACTGGAAACTTGCTTAGTGTCTCAGATCCTTTCCTACTTCCTTAATATATTTACCAATGCGCATTTACAATTCAGTATTAATACCCAGTTAGCTGGTAATGGTAACCGCAGAAGACCAAGTGGATTGTGGGAACTGTAAGGGTTTCTATTCCTCCATGCTCTTGCCCTCTTCTCCTTTGCTGCTTCTCTATGAATATTCACGAGCACTGCTGAGTGGTAAGGTTATGACATCAAAGTTAAATCTGCCCCTCCCCCACCTCCTCTCCCAATAATGTGACTCAGATATCAGAGTTAAGTGGATGATGCAATGAGAGGGAGGAAAAGAAGAGACATCTTTATGGTGTCATAATCCCAACACACAAACAAGGCTATGATATAGATATATTCATGAGATATGTTCCTTGGGAAAGAAAAAGATTGGAATTTAAAGACATTTTTATCATTTCCAGCAGCATCCACAATTCTCTTAGGTACTTAGACAGTCTCCATTATTGTAGTATCTGAGTGCCTCACAATGTTTAACACATTATCCTCCCAACGTCCCCGTGAGGTAGTGCACATTTTACAGATTGGAACCTGAGGCACAGAGAGACTAAGTTACCTATGCAAGATCATACATGGCGTCTGCGGCTGAGCATGGAAATGAACCCCGGTATCCTGCGTCCTGGGCTGGCACCTGAACCACTAGCTCATTCTTCCTCCTCAACATGAGGTGTTTTCTAAACAGAAAAAATGGCCTGGTTCGTGCCCTGAGGACCTCACAATCTGAACACAGGGTAGGAGTACAACATTAAATAGAATGGTCAAGTGTGATTAACCATACATTACCAATATAAGGGTTTTGCTAAGAGAAACCTTTGGGGTTTTAATAGGAAATAATAGATATAAAAAAATTAATCACCACTCAGTCATTCACTTGCTTTTGCTGCACACATTCCTTCTTCTGTTCCTTATCTATTTAGATTTTGAGCTCTTTGGGGGAAGGACACTGTCTCTTTATTCATCTATGCCTACCAGAAAATGCATTCACTTGACATACTTTTCAATCCTTACAATAAACAACCCTTAAATCCCAGGTCAAGGTAACCACCTGCATGCAAGTGGTTGTGTTAAATAGCAAACTCATGTCATGAAACTTTCATTAAGAATTTGAAATCTTACCTCCTTTTTCTTAGTACTTTGTATAGTTAAGAATTTAGATGATAAAATCCAGCTAAACAGATCCCATGTCCTTTTATCTGTGTCTGAAATAGACTCTGGAAGTTCTTTTAAGCTTGGCAAAGCATTTGTATCTGCAAGCTAACATAAGAAAGATTAATGTGTTTTGCGTCTCTTCATCATCATGATTAAACAGAGACCTCTAGCGGTAAGAAAACAATATTTCACTCTAATGGGGATCTGTGGTACAAGTTGAAAAACAATTTCCAATGAATTACAAGAACCACTTCTGAAAGACTTATACTGAGATTACGTGGGGAAATTTGTCATTTGTTCTGACATGCAACACTGAGTACAACGTTTGAGCAAGCTACGTGTCTTCTATAATTCTATGATCTATATTCAGCAGCAGCATCCATGGGGTATGCATAAGAACAGTGATCAAAAACATCTGAATGTGGTCACTACATCAACACACAGGTGATATCTGGAGTGGTATAAGTGCGACAGATATTGCAATCCCATGCAATAACTTTGGGAACCATACCGTATTAAGTTATGTATCACTGTGAGCATAGACACTGACTCCGTGGGTGGTCCGGGGCTGGAGCACCCACAGGGAAAAATTAGTGGGTGCACCCACCGGCAGCCATGCTCCCCTCACCCCCCAACCTCCTCCTCCTCCCCTGAGCGTACTGCATCCCTGCTCCTCTGCCTGCCTCCCAGCGCTGCCTGCCCAGCCGCCGCCAAACAGCTGTTTGGCAGCAATAGCACACGCCGGTGGAGGAGCAGGAACGTGGCGCGCTCAGGGGAGGAGGCGGGGCTGGGATTTGGGGAAGGAGTTGGAATATTGGCAGAGAGGGGGCGGAGTTGGGGTGGGGACTTTGGGGAAGGGGTTGGAATGGGGGTGGGGAAGGGGTGGGAATAAGCAAGGCAGGGACAGGGCCTCATGGAAGGGGTGGAGTGAGGGCAAGGCTGGGGGTGGGGTTTGAGCCCTCATGGGAAAGAGGGCAAGTCGGTACCTATGACGGTGAGCCAGGGATTATATGCAACACCAGGAGGGAGGGTTACCACAACTCCATGAAGCAAAACAGTGAGGGGGTGATTAAGGTGACTCATTTAAGTTGTAAATGCCTCCAGAGAGATGCCACCCCTTGAGGAGGCTTGGATATACTGATTCAAACTGGATTTTCCAGAGAGCAACGGACAAAAAAAACAACCCAGGCTTTTGATATTATTTCACCTGTTAAACTTTTTCAGACTTTCAACTTTAGACTTAGAGGCTTCCAAGTCTACATTTGTCATTTACCTTCTAAATGCTTCTAAATCTAGATTCCTTAATCTTACTGCATTTCAGGCTTGCAAAATTTTACTTACCCACTTATACTGGACAGATAACATATCATTAATTTTTTTATCACTAACTGGGCGAGAGTCGGTATTTTGTTTGCGCTAGTAAATGTACAGAGTTTTGCACCGCTGCTTTTGACTCTTTAGTATTACAGAAAACAATGCGCTCTATATTTTAAACCTGTTTTATAGTTTCCACACAACTTAGCTATAAACTCTTGGGCCAGAGACCTCCTTGTTATGATTTTCTGTAAAGAGCTGTGTAGGCTTTTGCCCGTATACAAGTTATAACACAATGTACATAGTAGTATGACAGCTTTTTTTCTACTTTTTAATATTTTTTTTTAACTTCAAGGGCTGTGTACAAATTACACTGCATTTATTTGGAAGGACACCATTAAAACAGTGATTCCCTCCTTCCCATTATGCAGAGGTCTATGCGCTGCTGCATGTGCTCAGTATGGCATTTGTCTGTTTATTCAACATCACATGCCTGAAAAGGTGTTTTCCTCCAATCAAGAAAGAAGTTCACCTTTGGACAAGGACCAGGTCTGGAGAGTTTCCATCCCAGAGGAGAGTTTTTCAGAAAGTTGTGAGTAGTTGAAAATGTTATAGTGGCAGCTATTTTGCAATTTTAACTACTGGACAGTGTTTCAACAGACATACATACAGAGCACATCCTAACAGCCTCATGTGTAGTTAGGAAAATCAAGATTGGGTGAGGGGATTAGAATTACGTTAGCCATTTGTCCTTAATAAGGATCAAGTTTTTAAAATATATGTGCCCCTAATGCTCATGCCATATCTTGCCAACGCAGGGAATCTGTCCGTGCCCTTGGTGTGTACAGAAAACCAGCTAAATTGAAAAGGTCCAGAATTAAGGGCCTGAAGCAGTAGCTACACTGAGCAGGGAACTCCTAGTGAATCAGAATCTTACCCCCAATCTGAGAGCACAAGGGGCCAAATGTACAATGCAGGAAAGCACTGTGTGGACGTGAAAAGAACAGGAGTACTTGTGGCACCTTAGAGACTAACAAATTTATTAGAGCAAATAAACAAATAATTAGAGCAAATAAACTAACAAATAAATTTGTTAGTCTCTAAGCTGCCACAAGTACTCCTGTTCTTTTTACGGATACAGACTAACATGGCTGCTACTCTGAAACCTGTGTGGAAGTGGTAACCCTCCACTGCACCTCTGTCAGCCAGAAAACAAGGGAAAGGTAAGGCAAGCCTGGTACCTTCAACAGCACAGCAGGTGTGTTAAACCAGGAGATGCCAGAAATGGGGTCAGCACTATTCAAGTGGATAATCACATTAATAATACTTAGCACATTTCATCTTGGAGGCACTTATATAGATATTAACTAATTGCTCCTAACCACACTCCTGTGAAGTAGCATCAGTGCATAAGTAATGAAAACGAGTGACTTGTTTATAGGATCTGTTCTGGGCTTTGTTTTTATGTGGAACTAATTACACCTGTACTCTGGAGAAACACCTGCTGCTCTTCAGCGTGGAGTGCTCTTCCCCTTCCCTCCCCACTCAGTGTCAAGCTGTCCCCTCTAAAGGGATAACTCACCAACGCATCAAAATCCTTGCTCTCCTCGTTAGCATAGAGGCCTGGAAAGGGTCTCAGGACCGAATCACGCTTGTAGCTCTGCAAAGCGGAAACAAAGAGGCTGCACTTCAGATCCGCAGCCAAGATGTCCCTGCGGGTGGCCTCCTTGATCTTCTCCCTGAGGGCAGCATCGCTGGGCCTGCGGGGCAGCATTCCCACCAGGGGTCTGGCCAGGAAACACACAGGGCAGCAGCTCAGCACAGGTTAAAGCCCTTCCCTAACCCTCAACCTGGGGGTGCTGGAGGGACCAATCTCCCCCCTGCCCCAGCTGTCCTCAGCGCCTCCCCCTCCCATCCCCACTGCCATCCATGTCTCAGGGATTTACAGAACATGTACCCTGCCCCCCGTCCCTCCATCTCACTGCTTGGGCCCCCAGCCTGCCCCCCGCACCCTATATC